GAAGGCAGTCACTTAACCAACTGAGCCACCCAGGCACCCCCCAAATGGAAATATTTTAGACATGACAATGAAACCACCCATCCTCATTTCATTGTCCCTATTTCAGTCTTCGTCATTATCATCTGTGTGATGCCATTGCTTTGTAATTCATCTCCCTGCTTCTAATTTCCATATTCCATTTCTGAGTTCACATTATGATTTCCAAAATGAAGAGTGGGACAACTCTCTATCCTGCTTAAAATACTCCATAGTATCTAAGATGCTTACTTAATTCAAATTCCTTGAAATAGCACAAAGGCCTGACAGGCCTAGACCTGCCAATTTGTCTAGCTTCATTTCTCATCATCCTTTTCCTATATTCAACAGTTCCTATTTTTATGGTTGGATATGTAATGTGCTATTGCTCAGGAATTTCCATTCTTATGTTTTGTCCATTCATTAATACCTTCACTCACTCCAATCATTTTCTGAGTTCCTACTAATCAAGTTACTGGTCAAGTTACATTCATAACTAATATCCATAAACAAATGTTATGAATGACATGGACAAGGAGCTAAGGAAGACTGGAGGGGAGAGGAAGTTGACAGAATCAGGAAGGGGAGAAAGCATTTCCCTGAAAAAGAACAAGTGCTGAGATCTGCAAGGAATGTAGGGTTATTTATTCCAGAGGAAGAAGTGTAGAAACAGCCCATATAAAATTCATATGCCTGGAGGAAGTGTATGGGAAGATGAGGAGTTGTGAAGTTAGAGCACCTATCTTTTTTTTTTTTTATTCTTATGTTAATCCCCATACATTACATCATTAGTTCTAGATGTAGTGTTCCATGATTCATTGTTTGTGCATAACACCCAGTGCTCCATGCAGAATGTGCCCTCCTCAATACCCATCACCAGGCTAACCCATCCTCCCACCCCCCTCACCTCTAGAACCCTCAGTTTGTTTTTCAGAGTCCATAGTCTCTCATGGTTCGTCTACCCCTCCGATTTCCCCCCCTTCATTCTTCCCCTCCTGCTACCTTCTTCTTCTTCTTTTTTTTTTTTCTTAACATATATTGCATTATTTGTTTCAGTGGTACAGATCTGAGATTCAACAGTCTTGCACAATTCACAGCGCTTACCAGAGCACATACCCTCCCCAGTGTCTATTACCCAGTCACCGCATCCCTCCCATCCCCCCCCACTCCAGCAACCCTCAGTTTGTTTCCTGCGATTAAGAATTCCTCATATCAGTGAGGTCATATGATACATGTCTTTCTCTGTTTGACTTATTTCGGTTAGAGCACCTATCTTAAAGGCATTTGAAAAGCTTATACCCACCAGCAAATATTAAAAAAAAGACTTATTAATTTATCAGTTTCTGGCTCCTTCCAGAGTCCCACTACTGGCACAATTTCACAACTTTCTTGATCCTTTCATTCACTTAAAGGTACAGAAGATAAGCAGCTACTTTTAATGAAAATCAGATTTTGAATCTGAACACTCATATCAGATAAAAATGTGAAAATGCTGTTTGTTCATTCATAATAATTACATGAAAAGTGAATATATAAAAAATGCAAGCTAAAAATAAAACATGTCCTTACACATTTATTGAACAGTCTCTATTGGCTTTTACCATTGTTTTATTTTCAGGGAGAAAAGGATTTTTAACTTTAAAAAATTTTTAAATGTCTTGCCCTTTTTCTAGAATTGCTTGATTTAAACAGTAACTATCACAGAAACTTCAATTAATTTTCCATATATTGTAGCTTAGTAGCCATATTCTAAGAAGCCTTTAACTTGACAAATTTCACTTTCAAATACAGTGTAAAATTTAATGGAGAAGAGATGGAAAAACCTCAATTCAGGAAGGTTGGGGAGAGAAGAAATAGAGGAGATGATGAAAATGGTTATTTCAACTTTTTAAAAATTCCTTATCCAACTGTTAATACACTATGAATAAAAGGTATTACCTCATATATTAACTTCTTTTTTTAAGATTTATTTATTTATTTTAGAGAGAGAGAGTGAGCACGCATACATGAGTGGGGGCAGGGCCAGAGGAAGAAGAAGAAAGAAACCCCAAGCAGACTCTGCGGTGAGCATGGAGCCCCACTCGGGGCTTGATCCCACGACCCTGAGATCAAGACCGGAGCTGAAATCAAGAGCCGGACGCTCATCCGACTGAGCCACCCAGGCACCCCAGTCCCACATATTAACCTCTAACATTTACTCTTTAGTTGCAGCATTTTAAAATTATTTTTGAGTGGGAGCAGGAAACTTAAAAAACCCAGAGCCTCAATCAAAAGACAGTGGAACAAAGGGACATTTTTCTATATTTAGAATGTCCAAGCTAGAGAGTCCATGAAGCCGGTGGGCCTGAGCATATGTGTTTCTATGTATAGCTCATTCCAGCTTTGCAGATGAGTCTTAACAACTAAGAATTCCTTCATCCACCTGACAGCATTCTTACCCTCAAAGATTCCCTGGAATTAGTGCTACACTTGTATGAGGTTCTGTCAAGAGAAAGTTCGCCCAGCTCTGATGACAAAGCTCATGATCTTTGAATTCTCATCCATGCTACCAGCTTGTGTTTGTACCAACACACGTAGTTTTTCAAATGCCGTTGTTCTGACATTACAAAGCAAGGCAACTCAAAAGCAAAAATTAAATTTATGAGAGCCAAAGAGAGATGCCTTTAATCAAAACTGTCAATGTTCAAAAATTCCTTGCAGCATATGTTAAAACAACATTGAGCTGGCATTTTATAAACTTCTCTGCATTCGCTTTAAGTTAATTTATATACTGAAAGAAAGACATAACTCACAATAATAGCTTGTTAATACTGAAAGAAGCAAGCTGTGTTTTTAAGAAGAACATTAAGCAGCTGTTTCCAGATGAAGAGAGTCTGTAAATCAGGGTAAATTGGTTTTATCCATGTTTGGTTTTCATTAATTAAGTGTTTTAGGGACTTTATGAAGCTAATGTTTACTACACAACATTGCCTTGCTCACTTCATTGTACACTGCTTTCAACCAGTATATTCTAATGGCCTACTTAATAACCAAATAGTTTAACATGATTTTGTGCAGTTGCAGTACATTCTTTTTCAGAAGAAAATTTGTTGTTACAGGTGGAAGCAAAAATGAAAATGCTGAACATTACCTTTAAAAAAATAGGTGGGATTTTTATTGGATATGTGTTCCACACCACTTACTTGTAGAGCACATTTTGACAGGTGGTCATTTTCAAGTTAAACCATATGCTTGTTACTAGTTTTATTAACATTCTGTTTATAAGAAGGAGGATTTTCTTTAGTGTTGATTATAATCAGAGTCTGGCCACAAATCCAGGGGTTTGCAAAATTTTAAAAAATTTGTATTTTCTGAAGTATGAATAAAAAAAACGTTATCTTAAGGAAAAAAAGTAAATGAGGCAAGTTTCCATTGTCCAGTCATAAGGTCCCAACTGAGTTCTAGCTCAGCCTTTTAAATTTTCTGAGCCTCAGTTTTCTTAATTCACTCAATAATATTCATATTACAAGGGCCTGGATACAATTAAGTGACTATTATAAGTTAAAGAACTTTGCAAATTTCAGGGATGCACAATGATAAAGCATCATTGTTAAATAAGGGATAGACTTTAAAAAAGGGTCGTGCATTAAAATGTGCAGTACTGTTCCATTAAAACCACATTCTATTAAAATGTGTAAGTGCTTACCACCATCTTTTCTATTTAAAAAAAATCCATCTAAACTAAAACCTCAAAGTGAATTTTCTTTGTTGGGCTTAGCCTGCTAAGGACTGATCTGGATGAAGCTGAGTTCTGAAATTCTAGTTTGCCAATGTATGATGTTAAAGGGGCATAAGATCTGTGATTCTTTTTGTCCTTGAACAAAAACAACCCCCCCACACACACTAGAATAACCATTTTTTTTATTTTTAATTTTTTAAGAATAACTGCTTTTTAAAAAATAAGAGATTTATTGCTATTTTCTTTGTGAAACAGTCATTTCTTACCATTTTTGCCTACCCTTGTTATAAGAGCAGTCACTTTTAGAAAGCAGCCCTGGCTAACTATTGTTACTTCAATATTAGCCTTGGTAAATCACCTCAGCTGGCCCAAGTCTAACTACATAGGTTGGGGAATATATTTTTCTCCTCCAATAACACATCTGTAACTCAAATATTAACAATGTAATACTTTAAAGAACATACACATTTAGCAAGTTGAAAATATGGCATGGAAATAAAACATTTGGTTATAATTTCTTTGGCAACTGACCACACCCCTCATCCGACTTTATTTCACTAAATTGACCTCTCAAACACATACTTAATTTCATGTGTAGCTGCAAATTCATGGGGAACAATACCCTGTGATATAATTGAACACCTTCTTTTTTAAAACAAAAATACGAATGTATAAAAACAACTGATTTGATCATTCAACAGACTGTTATTGAAAGGATATTTTATACTAGATGCTCTGCTCAGAAAAAACAAAAATGAAAAACATGGACTCCAGACTCACAGAACTCCAGCTCACGAGAGAGAGAGATATGCAAACTAGTAATGACAAGCTTTGTGAGATACAGAGATGAATATGACAAGGTTCCTCTGCTGGAAGAACTCCCAGACTACAGACCTGCAATTTTGATCTAATTTGATTTACTCTTTTAAACTCAGTGACTTTTAAAGTGATTAACTTCACAAACATAATGACTTTGATTCTTACCCAAATAATTTCTACACTTAGAAGCAGCTTAAAAGAGGCCCCTTCAAAACTCCCAACAGAGCAGAGAAGACTTTTCAATTGAGAGTGAGGAAAAATCTGCTATTAAAAATACAATTATTTCCTTGGCTTTGCTAGTTTTATATTTGGTCAAAGTTACAGAGAGATGGAAGAGACAAGGCAGATAATACCCCTACTGTGCCAATGGAAAAATGATGATGTCATTTTGTAGGCGCCCTCCATGGGAACAGGAGAATAGAAATTATTATATGCAGAAAACAGAACAAACCTATGCAAAATAATGTTTAAAACAGAATCAGAAACAATGTAATCTTAAATAATTACTCTTAAAATATTGTGAACTTAGTCTTATTTATATTGAAGTATTATCCAATTTTGTACTCCTAGGTCAAAATTTTGATCACGTGGTCTGGTTTAAGAAGTAACAAAATGCCCCATCTGGGAACCTATGCCAAAATTCCACCATTAAAAAATATTCCTTTCAAATAAATATTTGTCTATAGTTTAAGTAAAAAAAACACAAAATGCAGATTTAAAGTAAGTAAGTTCTAATCCTGTCTTTACCTCTTAAGTAGGTGTGGGATATTGGGAACATCATTCAACTTGAATACATTGGCTTCCTTTTATAAAATTATAGAATTAAACTAAACAGCCTTAAATGTTATTTTAGGTTTTCCTGTTCTAATATAATAATGCCTTTATATTTCTCCATATAGATGAAAATGAGTGGTGATGCCTTTTCTGGTGCCTGAGGATAAAGTTAATCACTTCTTCTTTGATTGAAATCTCTCTATAGGGTACATATCTGTCTGTTACAGCTCTTATCCCTGAATACTGTCCCTTATCCCTGAAGAATATTGAGAATTTCCATGTTTCTCTCAAGTAGATTTGTGTCTCTTTATATCGTTCTCCACCACCTCTAGAACAAAACTGGTCCATGAAAATGCTTGTTGAATTGGATTTGTTCAATGGATTTATGATTGAGAGGACACTGGAATAATTCCCTTTCATTGTATTTTTATATTTCAAATATAATTAATTAAGAACTGGTGAAAAATAATCAGTTTTCCCTTCTCAACTTCGTTTGTGGAAGGAGTTGATAAATGTTTATTTCCCAAAAGAAACTTGGACTCTAGGGATGCCTGGGTGGCTCAATCCATTAAGCATCTGCTTTCGGCTCAGGTCATGATCCCAGGATTCTGGGATCAAGTCCCACATCAGGCTCCTTGTTCAGCAGGGAGCCTGCTTCTTATTCTGCCTGCCATTCCCCCTGCTTGTGTATGCTCTCTCTCTCTTTGATAAATAAATAAATAAAATCTTAAAAAAAAAAAAAAAGAAACTTGGAATCTAAAAGCAGAAGGTGTGAATCAAATTTCTTAGTTGTTCTACTATAACAAAACAACAATAATAACAATAGGGACATAATTATAAATACTTTCCAGTTAATATCATAATTAAAGTAAAAGATTTCCTAGGTATACCTAACTCAAATGTCCATTACTTATACAATGTACAAGATCTATGACATACACAGAGGGCTTAACGAAGGATTTTTAGAGGTTATAGTAGAGAAATCTTAGATATAAATGAGAAGTTGGCACTGGCTATACTATGCATGGGGAAGAACATTACCTGGCTCTTCTCAAAACACAGACATATAGACAAAAACACATAGACACAAGTGTTAGTATCCTCTAATGTGGCTATTTTTATGCTATTTATTTTCACTGCAGTGGCTATCAAGTGATCAAAACATTTTGCATTTTGATATAACAGTGGGCAGGTTGACATTTAATAATGCCTGGAATTGAATAGTCTCAGTGTATATTAAAATACCAATTTATTTCTTAAAATCCATTAGTTTTTTACTATGTAAGTCAAATTATTAAAATTATATTCATGTTTTGGTGTTATTACATGAGATACAGGTAAAGGAATGTACAGATGATTTATTGAAATTCAGAAGAAAACTTGGTCAAATTAAAATTTTTTGTGCTTCAAATGACATCATTAAGAAAGTAAAAACCAAGGCACCTTGGTGGCTCAGTCAGTTAAGCATCTGCCTTCGACTCAGGTCATGATCTCAGGGTCCTGGGATTGAGTCTCACATTAGGCTCCCTCCTCAGCGGGGAGGCTGCTTCTCCCTCTCCCTCACCCCCCACCGTATGTGCACTCTCTTGCTCTCTCTCAAATAAATCTTTAAAAAAAAAAAGTAAAAACCAACTCACAGACTGAGAGAATGTATTTACAAATCATATATCTGATAAGGAGTTTGTATCCACTTTATAAAAAACACAAGTCTATAATAAGGACAAACAACCTAACTTAAAAATGAGCAAAGAATTTGAATAGACATTTCTCTAAAGAAAATATACAAATGCTCAAGCATATGAAAAGATGGAAAATATCATTAGTCATTAAAGAAATGCAAATAAAAACCACAAGGATATACCACTCCACACCCACTAGAATGGTTAGAGTAAAAAAGACAGAAAATAACAACTGTTGAGGAGGATGTGAGAGAATCTGGCAATGGTGTGGAAGAAGCCGGAAGTTTCAAATATTCCTGGTGGAAACAAAATGGTAGAATCACTTGGGAAAACATTTTGGCAGTTTATCCAAATGTTTGAGAGTTATCATTTTACTCAGCAATTCCTAGGTAGATAACAAGAAAAATGAAAACATATGTCAACTTGTTCTCAAATGTTCATGGCTCCCTGATTCATGTTAGCCGAAACTGGAAACAACTGAAAAGTGCATCAGCTGATGAGAAAACAGAGGATGTGATATATCTGTATGATAGAATGCTATCCAGTAATAAAAAGGAACAAAGTACTGATAGATACTACAATATGGTTGAACCTCAAAAACATTAGATTGAGTGAAAGAAGCCAGACAAAAGACGACAAATTGCATGATTGCATTCATAGCAAAGGAATAGGCAAATCTATGACAGAAAGTAGATTAGTGGGTGGAAAGGGCTAAAGCAGGAGGAATGGAGGAAGCACACTGCTAATGAATGCAGGGTTAAATCTTCAGATGATGAAATGTTCTAAAATCCGATTCTGACGATGATTGCACAATTCTGTAAATATACCAAAAACAGGGTTGTACATTCTAACTCTGATATGTTAATTATATCTCAATAAAGCTATTAAAAAATAAGAAGATGAAACATGCCATGGTTCTATTGCAATCGATCTATTTTTATTCTACTCTTTTATTCTATGGAATATTTTTCTTTTTTGCCATTGATTACACCTTGATTTTAAATGGTGAGGGTTTCCATTACTATTTGTTTGTGGATTCACTTTTTCCTTCTTTGGTCTGTTTTCTTAAAGGAATAAAAGAAACTGCCTTTGAAAACTTACCGTCCACGTGACTTGAACAGTGGTGGGGGTCAACACAACTGGAGTATGAAGACGGACAATGACATCTCCTAGTTCTTTCTGTACTTGTCTATGGTCCACTCCTTGTGCTGGTGGGCTGATATCTACAGAGATAATCATTCCCAATATTTAAAAGTTCCTAGTAAAATTCCAGTGTATATTATACAAGCCATTACTATCAGGTCATTAGAAATAATCGCAGGGCAAAAAACTAAAACCCTTTGTGACAAAAAACATTAAGGCATATTTATATACATACCATCCCTGCTAGGACATAATTTGAGAGATGATATTTATCTTTACTAAAATAATATTAATAAAAGTGTTTGTAATCTCTCACTCCCTTCAAATACATTGTTGTGGGAGATCTATTATTTGCTTATTAAAGAATAAAGTATGTGCCACAAGACCTCTCTAGAATCATCAGTTTTCTGTAGCTGTTGGCATATGGAAGGACTTTCCTGAGTAGTTAATGGAGCTGTATCTGAAAACTGCCGTTTAAGAATTTGTTTAATCCCTTGTCCCAATTGGTAGATTGTACGTTCTTACTCCTTGACCTATTCTAGACTGGAAGCACGGGAAGGAAAGTAATCAGGGAGACTTGGGAAGTGAATTATATCACTAAAGGTTAACAAAGTGAGGGAAAGAAGGGGGAAAAAGCCCCCCAAATTCACAAAAATACTTATGACTGAAGAATTTAGGATACTGAAAAAATATTCTAAAGTAAACAATTTTGAGAATTTCAGTATCTGACAAAAAAAAAAAGAATTCGGCCTTTTTTTTGGAAGTGATTGGGGGAAGGGAGAGGGAGAAAGAATTGCAATATTTAGAATGATATACTCTCAGCCATACATTGTTCAGCCAGCCCGGTATTCACCATCCACATAATACTAGTCTATTGTCCATATAATGGTTCATATTCTGTATGCCCGTTAAGAAAAAAAAAAGAGAAATTATAGACTTCCGAGTTCATCAAATTGATACCAAATATTGAATTTCACACAAACTCAAATCAACTACTTTAACTGGTGCACTGCAATATTAAGTTGATTTTTTCCCCTCCAACTATCTTTTAAGGAAGGAAGTCTAATTTAAAATAATTGATTTTCTTAATCCTGTTTTCTCCTATTTTCTCGGGCCACAATGCAACACTCCGGCAAAAATATTTGTGAGTGCATATCTCAGCCATAACTTAAACTGACTGCACTAACAAACTGGGACATAAATAGGGGAGGGGGGGAAAGGATGGGAAAAATGGGTGAAGGGGGCTGAGAGCTATAGGCTTCCAGTTGTGGAATGCATAAGTCATGGAATAAAAACCACAGCATAAGGTAGAGAACAAACTGATAGTTGCCAGAGGGGAGAGGGATATGGGTGAAATAGATGAAGAGGATTGAGTACATATACTGTGATGAGCAAAGAGTAATGTATAGAATTATTGAATCATTATATGGTATATCTAAAATGAATATAACACTGAATGTTAATTATACTTGAATTTAAAAATAAATAAATATTTTTTTAAAGCCACAGCACAGGGAACATAGTCAATGATATTGTAATTGCATTGTACGGTAACGGATGGTAGCTACACTTGGGGTGAGCATTGCATAATGTACAGGTAAGTTGAAACACCGTGTTGTATGCCTGAAGCCAATGTAATATTGTGTATCAACTATACTCAAAAAAAATCTTTGAAAAAAGAAAATAAATTTCTCAAGGACCTTAGAGTGGATGTGGAAGAAGGCATAAAATACAAATTTGGCATTACCTATAGTATATAATGAAAGTGCTGTTTTTATTTAGTATTTGGAATTTATATCAATAATTTACAAATTTGATTTTAATTAAAATAGCATTATTAAAATACCTTAAATCTCTTCCATTGTTTTCCAACCCTCTGTATCGATTTGAGTAAAGCACAAACTTATCCCATGACTCAGGATATATATTTGCTGTTGTTATTTGGAAAATGTATAATGTAAGCAATAAAAAAAAATGAGTGAAAAAATTGGGACATAAATAATTGGGAACTATGGTTTGGTGATTTTTTTCCCCCCAGTTCCACTGTTTTTCATCCTTAACATAAATAGCAGAGCTATTTTACTTGATCTAGAAAAAATATATTATTAATATTATGTGAATAATATTAACCTTTGCTGACACATCTATGGTCTACTGTGATGTTTATGCTACAAGTATTTGCTGCCTTCCTAAAATAAAAGATTTCTAAATTCTATGGTACTTAATATCTTTCAAAATAAGACCTCACACAGCAAAGTGTTCTTTGAAAAGAAGTGCTTTGCAGAATGCAAAGCTGCTGAAAGTGTGGTGTCAAAAAATGATCCTGACATTCAGACACAAAACATGAGTTTTCCTATTAAATATCTGTTAAGAGAACATAAGTCTTTTGCTCTATATAGTCTCTCAGCTGGAACAAGCCAGATCACAAACAACTTTTCATTAATCTTTTTTGACCTTTTCACCGAGAAGTTATTTTATGAGTCAAGATTTAGTGACTGGCAGAGTTATTGAATGATCAAGAAGGTCTGCCGGATATAATCACACCCAAATTCTTCCCCACTCTGTTATCTCCCGCTTTCCATTACAGCTACACCACAAAAACTGTTTCTGTCTACACTGGTAAAAATGTTCTTGGTACTCTGATTTCTTGAGTTAAAGCCACATACATCTTCAAGTTCTAGAATTTAATTTACTCATTAAATTTAGACACACTAAAAGCAACTGGATCCAAGCAAGGTAAAATATAACCAGTTTCAGATCTTCAAATTCCTTGTTGTACTTTTTCTTTCTCTGGAGACAGGTTCTTTTCCCTCAGGCCCTTTATCATCATGGAAAATTAATCACATTACTGCTTAGAGAACAATAGCAAAGTGGCATTCCCTCCTCCCCTGACTGTCATCATGTCAGCAACGTTCCAAAATCACGTGGTGACTATTTCACTGGATTCCTTTAAGGTGCCCTTCTCTGTTATAATAGCATGCTAGTTACTATCACTGAACTACATTGTAATTATAATAATATTTTTATGGCTGTATGGTGCTTTTCATTGCATAAAAATACTACTTTGAATTATATCTTGTTCAAAGCCTTTTACAAATAAGAAATAATTAACCCTTTCTCAAGAACCCTGTGGGAAGTCAGTTTTAACAAATAATAAAACCACAATGTCTATTTTATTAATTCCCTCCATCTACTAGTAGGAAGGGAAATTATAATGCAGCATCCTGTATTAACCCCTCGACTCCAGTGACTTCTTAATTTGAAGATGCAGGCTACCAAAGATGAGAAGGAAAATCTTCAATTTTGAAATTATAATATTCTGGATGTTTAAGTTTTTATTTAAATCCCTGTTAGTTACATACAGTGTAATGTTAGTTTCAAGTGCACAATATAGTGATTCAACAGTTCCATACACCACCTAGTGCTTATCACAGCAAGTGTGCTCCTTAATCACCAACATGGATTTCACCCATCCCCCCACCTCCTCCCCTCTGGTAACCATCAGTTTGTTCTCTCAGTTAAGAGTCTGTGTCTCGATCTCTCTCTTTTCCTTTTACTCGTTTGTTTTGTTTTCTTATTTTTTTTTTAATTAGTCAAAAGAATTGTATACCTCAGGAAGAAAACTTGATTTGCTCCTTTCTGAAACAAATTGCTCTTTTAAACATCTGGTTTGATAAAACAACAACAACAACAACAAAACAACAACAACAACAAAACACACATTGTAGTTATGCTTGTCAAACTTGAGCAGAAGCATCTCCTGGGGAGCACCTTAACACAGACTGCTGGGCTGAACCCCCAGAGCTTCTGAGCTGGGGCCTGAGAGTCTGAATTTCTAACGTGGTCCTAGGTGAATGCAGATGCTGCTCCTGGGGGAGCTCCACCTGGAGACCCACTGCCGTATAAAAACAGAATCTTGAACAATAGGAGTAATTTTGATATCCCTGTCTGGGCATTGTATCCATTAGAGATCACTTTTTGCTACTATATAATTAATTTCGAAGGGAAGGAGACAAGTTTTCACCTTTTGAAATATAGTAAAAGCCCTAACTTAGTTGAATGACTCTTACTATGTAAATGTAACCAATTATTCTGTTTGTTTATTTATTTATTTATTTATTTATTTATTATTATTATTTTACTTAACAGACCCTGACAGCTCCAGGAAGAGGACACATTGACCAAGGTGAACAGCAAGTTCAGGATCGGGTCTAATGAATCATTGTAACAAGTAATGCGGACACATTTATCTTTCCTCATGCAACCCCTTTGTTCTTTTTTTTCTTTCTTTCAAGTCATTTCTCTTTTCTTTTTTTTTTTTTTGTTCCTGCTGAATGCCTCCTTCCAGAACCGGTCATGTTTACAGCTACTGAAATTACCTTGTGTGCGCACAGGATCTGACATGGGGCTTGGGTCACTGAGACCTTGTGGGTTGATGGCTCTGACCATGAATAAGTAGATCGTATTGGGCCTCAGTCCTCTCACTGTGTAGACTGTGGTCTTTACGTGGTTTGCCACCGTCTGCCAGCTATTACTCACTGATTGGCTGAAACAGGAACAGAACTTCCGCTTAAAGAGCAGCCGTGAAGGCATCGACAATGGAGCTGGGTATCAATGACAAAAGTTAATGGCTGAAAATTAAACACACACACGCACAACACTTGAAGTGTTAAGCCCAATAAATGAAACATTTGGATGATTTCGGTTTATTCAACAACAAAGCCGAGCCCACCTAACGGAAGTGCCATGCACAACAAAATTAAACTCAGCCCCGGAGATGTGACAGCCCGTTGCTAATGCACAGCAGCCCACTAAATGAATACCTGTAGAAGGAATAGAGGCCAAGATCACAACATCAAGTTTATACAATAAATATGGTCCTCGTAAATGTATATATATATATACCTTGAAAAGAATTAACCTGTAGAAAGAATAAATGGACTACAGAGTAAATTATGCCAATACATTTTCCTGTTACAAGGTGTGTTTTCTTTTGCATCAATTCCACATGCAATATTATAATAGAGCCTTCTAAAACTACATATCTGTAAAAGAAGAAAGGAAGCATGTAAGGAATATTTTCCTTTGGTCACATTTTTAATAAAGTTATACATTACATAGTATGTGATTTCTCATCTTCAACAGGTGAAATACCTCTGAATCTAGATGTGGAGACCCCTTAACAGCCCGCTAGAGATGGGATACCCATTTAGAAAACTTTGTCTATGGTCAAATGCTGCTTTAGTTCATAATGAGGAGAAAATGTGATTTTTCAGGGCTGCCTGTTTACTTTTCAAAAGTTGTTACACATCAAAGCATGAAAATTACAGAAAAACTGTTTTGAAAGTTGGGAATGATGTATTTGTTGATCGTTACCTTAAATAGATTAGGGAAGCCTAAAATGAAAATAATGGTTTGTCCTAATGCTTAAAAATGACACCGGCTTTTGCTATCTTTATAATGGCAAATAAAAGCACATTGAAACAATACAAACTTCATTTTCCCATTTGTGTAAGGATCTTATCAAATTCTCACAATGACTTTACCATGACATTTGCTAATTTATAGTCTATATCCTTATATTGATGACAATTTTTTCAAATCACAATTGGACATATTTTTTTCCTTTCAGCAACCAGAAGTGCACGGAATCAATTCCTTAACTGTAGTTTTGCATTTTTTTTTTAGGTCTACCCATAGCTGTATTAAAATATACAGCACAAAAACAGTGGACTTATTTTAAGTTCTGCTCTAATTATGAGGAAGCAAAGTTCCAGGGTTCCATGCCTCGGTAAACAATGCAGAACTTAAAAAGTGTCCTGCCTAATTAAATTATTTTCTGCCTAGTTCTAATGACAAAATTCTCATCTTAAATCTTTACAATGGTCAAGGTAAAGAAAGGAGCTAAGTGATTAGGTCATAAGCTAGATCCCCATAGACTTCGTCATGGGTAATGCATATTTAATCTATAATCAAGTTGTAAGTGAAAAAAACCTAGAGTCTATTCTTGAATAAAATCAGATAAATACTTAAAATGCACTGTTCAACATGTTCTTAAGATAAAACAGCAGGATAGCTCATATGAGATTTTAGGATATGAGAGCTAAAGCAACAACCTAATGGAGAAAAAAAAAAAGGAACTGTCCCATACCTGAAAGCCTCAATGATATATGCACTTGCTGGAAGGACTCCAGGGGTACCTGGTTGCCAGGACAAGGTGACACTGTTCTTAGTAACATCAGTGACCTGTGGTTTGGATGGTGGCCCTGGTAGGTCACTTAAGTCATAGTTTTTACTGATTGTTGCTCCAGATTCTATAGAGGACAAACAGAAAATGCTTCATTCCTGATTGCATAAGATGCCATAACATTTAAAAGAAGGAAAATAGTCTATTGAAGAAGTTGACCTAGACAATGAGGAATTCATCTTCATGAATCAAAAGAATGTAAATGAATATTTGCTTTACCTACGTGTCACTAAATGTTTACTTTCATGCAAGATCACTAAAATTGCTTGCTCTTCAGGTAAAGGAAATTTGTTTATCAAGGACAAATGTATCAAATTGCAAAAATGCAATGTTATGTGGAGAAATTAAAAAGTGGCATATGACTTAGTTTTTCATTCAATGAATTTAAAATCTTGATTTTTCAATTGTTATTTGATGATGAGCTAATCAATGAAATGGGCTCAAGATTTCTTCTGTTCAGATAATTCCCAAGGACTCACCTGTCACATCCAGCACAGCACTCCACGAAGTCTCCCCACTTGAACTTGTAGCCACACAAGTATAAGTACCAGTATCAGAAATCTAGTGTGCAAGGAAGGGAGAGAATTCAATTATTTTAATTAATTTGTAGAGTAATTACTCAGTCTCAAGGAGGTAATATTTAATTTCTTAAAATACGATGTATCATTTGGCCCTCCAAATTGTTCATTAGAGTCAATCATATGTACACACAAACTATTAAAATCAACTCATATAATATTACTTTATTCATAACAGGAATTCAATGATTTTTTATTATATTTCTATAACTAAAAGTTATGTGTTTGGTAAACTCTATTTGTCTGGTCCTCTTGCCTCCATGGTAATATCTTTATCTTCGTATAACTCCAATTTATGATGGGGCTTCGCTGTGTTGGAGTTACATATGGACAGCTCAGGACAGAATTTTTCAGAATCCTTTAAATATTCAGAGATCAGTAAAGCAAAACTGTCCTTTCCATCTTAATACATTATATTTCCAAGGATAAAATGTACTCAGGAGTGAATAAGCACTGAGGTAACAGGGGGCTGACTTTTTTTTTTTTAAAGACATGGAGAAAAGTGAAGGAAAAAAAACCTAAATCTCTCCCTTTAAGTAGATTAGTATTCACTTATATTTAAATTTTAGTAGTGTGATAGAGAATGAAATAAAATTATATCATAAACACACAAACCATGTCTATGGAATCACTGCAATTTAGAGCTGAAAGGACCATGCAAATAATCTCATGCATCACTCTTTAAAGCATACTTAAAAACTGCCATTTCATTGATCACTTAAAATGTTTTTGTTATTCACTGAAGAGCGGGAAAGGATTTTTTAAAGTAGTTGATAATATAATCAAGAGTTCTCTTTTACAAATGTAAAAGGTATACATTTCTGTGATTATACTTTGGCGAAAGGCACAAATCAATAAAAATTGTATGTCAAAAATCATCTTTGTAGTTGAGTCCTGTGGGCCTAGAATATAAACATATTTATTTACACTGGTTTAGAGATGAGACTGGGAAGAAAAATCGATGGCCACACTGAATAAGGCAAGTGACATGATGTGACATTAAAATTCTGTGATGAACATGAGTCTAACTGTTGATGAAATATGAGGGTTCATGGAATATAATATCTGCTGGGTCCAAAGTCTTAAGTGTAGTAATGACTCAACCTTCCACAACTGATTATCAGGTAAATCATTAGTGCATGGATGTTCCTGCTGTGCCACCATTTTAATTGATTTTAAATGTTATTATGTATTTTAACTTGAGTTTCAAACTGCTCTGGCACATTGTTCTCTGCCATATTATCTTCATACAATTGTCTTCTATTATACGCGGGATGATAGAGGATAGCCATTGTAAAAAGAGCCATTCTTTGAAACGTGGCTGTGCATGCATTATAGTCATTAGAAATCTCTCCATTTAAGAAGCATCACTCACAAACTAAATATAATGAGCCAAGGTTGGATTTTAATGCGATGTTCATTTGAATATGGTCTGTGAAAGAGTAAAGAATTTGCATTTTATTATAGCTGTTGAACTAAAGTGTAGCACTTGTTATTATGTGCAAATGCTGAAAGAAGGGTATGTAGGTAATGCTTCTTCACTGCATCTCCTTGTCATTGTGTAGAGACACAGTCTGACATTAGCGGTGGTAGGTAGGTTTTAATGAGTATTGGAATATTCTACTTCTCAAAAGATACAGATTCAGTTACCAATTAGTTGGACTATGAGAACAGAGTGTTCATCACATTATCCTCCCCGCCCCCATTGCATTAAGTACCAAAAAAGAAAAAAAGAAGAAGGAAAGAAATAGTGAGACACAAAGGAATCTGACTTACAGAAACCCTCTCTTGACTATACGAGTGAAATAGTGTAAAAACACATTTTTATATCCCTTTAAAGACAGTCACCTTACAGAAAAAGAACAACATTTTCATACTGGAGTTTATCAAAAGCCATATCAAAAGCTGAAATATCATTGTTAAAACTCACTCTTCAATCACCATCATCATCACTACACTCATTCTTATTCCTTTAACTTTAAATAATTTCTTTTCGGGTCATGAGTGCTTCATCTTCCTTCTATCCTTCTCCTTTTATCCTTAACCAAGTGCTTTAAAAAGAGATTAATGTGCTGGCACACTCCATCATCTGCTTTTCTCCTTATGTGGTTGGCTGCAGACAAGCCCCCAGGAGCTTGCATCTCAGAGAGATGACTCAGAAGCCTGACACAGGGCTCGAAGTTTGTTTGACATCATCAAGCACCCACATTTAATTGTTTCTTTCAAACACTACTGGGGATCTTTACTATTCAAGCACACCCTTTAATTCAGTGGTACAGTGAAAATGCATTAACTTTTATGGCCAAAGTCTGCCTTTAGCCCAAAGACAGAGGTGAAAGTGTTTACTCAAGGAGAGTTGGCATTCATTTTTTAATAACTCTCATTTGTTCAAAGAAAGTTAACAATTAATTTAGAATCAATAAAGAGACAGGCTAAAATATGTACTAATTTATTTGTCTTTTAACTGAATTTGACAGCATTTTTTTCTACTTAAAGATAATTAATGCCTATGTCTCAAAATTAAAGTGAAAACATTATATATTAATTTTATTAACAAATATACAAATTACTGAAGGTTTGCGTGCTTTGAGTGTGCATGTACATATTACAAAAAGTCCTTCCTCTTTTTGTAAATGTCTGGGTGACACGCTGGTAAATACTAAATAAACATGTCATTGTAAATATATTTGTGTTTTAAGAGAAGAAATAATCCATGTTGTAATCAGTTGAAAATACATGTAATGAAAAATATTTTAGCTTCTTCCCTAGCTTCCAGATAGGAAAATTCAACATTGTTTTTCTGTTTTTTTGTTTGTTTGTTTTTTATCTTGGCTCCCTATTTCTACCTAGATACCAGATTCTACTAATTGTTCTGCCACCAAATCATTTTTGATTAATTTTTCTTCATGTACTATATCAATCATCTTAATTCTGGCTCTCATCTCCAATCTTTTGACTATTCTAGCAAACTCTTCAGTTTTAGCATAGTGATTGCCACAGGGAGGGGAGGCTCTGTACATTTTGTTGAATGAAGTGAATATACTCATAGAGGGCAGGCGGTCCCTATCTGGTATTCACACCTTGTGTAATCAATCCCTCACATTGAATGTGTGTGGGATCTGTTGACTTGCTTCTGATCAACAGAATAGGGCAAAGGTGACAGGATGCCACATTTGTGATTATGTTACATAAGATTATAATGCTTGTCTTGCCAGGAGACTCCCTTCCTCATTGACTTTGAGGAAGCAAGTAGTCATAATGGGAATATCAATATGGCAAGTAACTAAAGGCAACCTTCAGCAACACCAAACAAGATGCTGAGGTAATCAGTATGATAGCCATAAGAAACTGATTGCTGCCAGCAATCATGTTGCTCAGAAGCAAATCTATCCCCAGTCAATCTTCAGATGAGACCACAACCCTGATACGTGATTGTCTCTTTGTGAGACCCAGAAGTGGAAGACCCAACTAAGTGACACCCAAGCTCCTAACCCCACAGAAACTATGAGATAATAAATGTATGTTGTTTTAAGTCTCTAAGTTAATATTGTTAAATTGCAATACATAGCTAATACAATATTCAGAAGTAGGCATTTGAGTTGCTTCTGAAGTAAGTTTAATTTGTTAAATTGGTAGAAGTGGTCACCATCTTCTGTTAAAAGAACAGCAATGACTTGTCCTTGCCCACAGGTTTAAATCTAAACTCCACAGCAACTTAACCTAAAATGTAAGATTTTCCACCAACTAGCCAAACCTACCTTCTACTCAATCTTATTTCTTTGGTTTTTTGACATAATAGCTTGGCCAAGCCAACTTATCCACATTTCCTTACAAACGTCCTTTGTCCATGACAGTAAATCAGAAGCATTTGACACTTTCAAATGACTTTAAATATCCCATTACTATCATTAACTTCGTGTTTAAGATTTTTAGCTTTATCAATTGAATACATATGAGTTGGAATGAAAGAACAAAAAGTTTCTAAGTCTGTTATGATCTTATATTAACATATGGACTTTCTTTCTAATACCAATTCATCAAATGATGAATTTGAAATAAGAAATAAAATAAGAAATAACATGGCCTATAATAAAAGGTATAGCAACTTGCTAGTATGGAAGATTTTAAGTTCACAAAACAATTTTTCCCGAGGGCAATACTTATGTTGAAATGAAGATCCAAATACAAGTCAAGCATTACTTACCCGTAAATTCTTAATCTGCAGTGTTCCTTGTTCTTGTATAGTTGCTCTTGGATCTCTACCCAGGAAAGTAAATCCCTCCTTTAACCAGCTAATTACAGGAAGAGGATCACCAGTAGCTTTACATTTCAGTAATGCTGTACCATCTACTGCTAGTGTTTGGTTGGCTGGGCCTTGTAGAATTATGGGTGGAGGTCTATCTGTCAAAACTAAAGGATAAGGATATTTTCAGTATATTTTAACTTCTCAGAAGTTATATCATACTATTAGGTGTATATCACATATATATTACTTATAATTTATTCTGCATATTCTATGTCCATCATGTATCTATCATCTATACATACTATATATAGCATATTTACTGAGGACATACTATTATTTATAACTTACTCTGAATTACCTACAGTAGATGACAATAATAAATTCTGACATTATAGTATTGTTGAAAGTCTTTATCATATTAAAATTAAAATAAAAATATGGAAAGTTCATGGCAGTTATTCACAAAATGTATGCTTATCTCTTATATGCATATTTAAGAAAGCTTATAGAGTGTCATATGGGTAGAAACAATTTTAATTTTTGCTTTCATTATAAATATATGTATAATATATAATTTCACCCTTCAAAGCACCTTGCTATATAGAGAGACTATGATATGTTGGTTGATGTTAAATTATTAGATATAAACATTTTATTTCCAAGATTATGACACTGGGCCTTAGATTACAGTATTACAATCTGGATGATAGGATTTAACTAGTCCTTAGAATTAAGCAGTAATCTAGTTATACCATTTATGGTATGACAAATTACGGTTTTTATGTAAAATCACTGTTTATATATATCAATTCCTGTGTTCATCTGGGTAAAATTTCCACAATTTCATAAACTTCTTTTGATTAAATATTGTTTCACGGCAGTATCTTCAGTGCCTTTGGAAGTATTTCATAATGATTTAGGAAATATATCAGAATGTTAGTATTATTTAAATGGGTTATGGAAATATGGAGTCATTTGGGTGCAAAGTTTCATCCCGAATTCATTAGAAGAACACTTCATAACAAAACTGACATGTCCAGGTCCAAGGAAGGCTTTGTTAAGAGACAGTTCTATAAACTTCAGCATGGATTTTGGTTAATTACCCAAAATATTTATGCTTATTTATATTTATATTATGTTTATTATATAATTACCAAAAATATGTATATCATATATAAATATAAAACTTTCACAGAAAGGAAAAACAATTGTGGATTTTAATGACTGTTAAGCAACTTTGAGGAGAAAGTGTCTATAAAGGACGTCATGTTGTGTTACAATGTATATTATCAAAATGTCATTTTGCTCATTAATACTCTAATCTCCTTTGTCCACCAGGTTATCTGTTTCCCAATCTATATGCATCATCTTTATTATTAGAATTTGTGGTTTTGAGGGAAAAACATTAAATTGAGCAGCCCTTTTACAGCCTACCATGAGAAAGCCAACCAATTTTAATTTAAAAAAAGAAGTTATGAAATAGAGCCATTGCATGTGCATGTTAAGATACAATGGACTTCCAATCAACCTAAACCTACTACATCAAAATATGTATTAAAATGTGTGTATGTATGTGTGTCTATATACATATGTAAAACATATAAAAAACTAAAAAAATAAAATTTTGTGTATTATTTACAAACAAAAATTAGAACTACTTCTTTCATGATTTTTTTTGATCAAATTCTTCATTTTAGAAGTAAATAAAATAATCTTCAGAAAATGTGAAAATACAATGTTATATTAATTCTGACACATACTGCACAAATAGATATCCAAACTGAATATTCACGGAACTTATTTTTTTTATGGGTTAAAAATGAAGGGCCAATTCACAAAACATGAATAATTCTAAATTCAATGAGAAAAATGGGTCTGCATTACTAGAGTAGAATCTATTTATTCAATTTTAAATATTCTTACTGCTTTGTTTCAAATTAAATATCTCTATAGAATTTAGGTAACTTCTATAACCTGTTTGTATTTTTATATCCCTGAAATCATTAGATATAGCCAAGGACATCTGATTAGTCTCTTTCCTTTGTATTGCTCAAATGAGTAGCTCAATGTCTTTTTAATGAATTTGATCAATAAAGTAATTGAAAATCTCCTGGCCAGAAGGAATTTTCAGTTTCGAACATGTTATGGGTGAAAGATGACCACAGGTTTCCATGACACTGAGGTCAAAGGTTAAATGAACATTTAGGGTTTCCAGTGATCTGTGACCAATTCCATGGTTTTCGTTAACTATGCATTATAAATTCTCAATAAACCATTCATATAAGATCATGGTGTGACATTTATTGTCAACATAATACATAAATACATTTCTTCTCTCTAGTCCTTTTAGATGTTATTGGCTGTACTCAGAATTCTCATTACAATTTTCTAATTTTCTGAGAGAAAAAGAGCAGAAGAAAGGAAGAAATGAACAGTGCCAATGAATTAATGAGAAGGTCTTCTAAAAGGATATTTTGAAATTCAAGTATATTGAAGCATCTTCATTCAATCTATAATCAGTAAAATTATCACTCAACAGAACATTTCATCACCATTAGCAAATCTCATCTTATATGAACACTTGAGTTAAAAATACCTCCAAGAAAGGAGTCTAAGTGTAAAAATGTAGCAACAGAAACACTGTTACAGATGTTTTCCTTGTTTCTCTGAATATGACATACGTTTTTTATTCTACATTGGAATTTCAATTGGTTCTAAATTGCCCCGGGTCACACCCTCCAAAAAAATGTTCCAAATGAAAATGATAGCTCACGTACCATTAAATTGTTAACTAATCTGAAAAATTAAAACTATGAATAGATGCTAAGGGCATCAGCCAATGTAGCAAGTTAGTATTTAGAAAGAGTTATTTGTAATAATAATGTGTGTCTGTGTGTCTGTGTGTGTCTGGTTAGGTCTTGAAGTTAGAGTTCTTTACTGTCAAAATCAATAACTCTATAACCTCCATTCAATGTTTTTGTAAAAGGATCTTGACTTTGTGATTGCTTACTTAAGTAAAAATCAATGTAGGAATTAATATTCAAGCTAGTTGTAGCAAACTGTTCACAGTCATCTCACTTATCAGGTTTAAATTTGTATTCACTCTTTTAGTTTTGACCTCAGAAATAAAGGTAAAATAACTACTGTTTTGTGAGATTATGTCATCAACCAACACAAGTTCTCAAAACAAAAGTTTTCCTTTTCATTTCATCAGAAATGACTCTGAGTATCTGTCATATCATCTGGCTTTTCTAATTCATCAATTTTGTTTTCTACAAATATGGTTTGCCTTTTTCCATAACAATTTCCTTATTTAGAAACATTTTAGAGTCTGTCTTTTGTAAAATAATATAAGCAACTAGATTATAGTAGAGGTCTTCATCATTATACTTAGAATGTTTTATTCTTGTATATAGAAAACAACTTAGGCTATGGCCAGAATATCTTCTTTTCCCAGTATATGTACCTGGACATTTTTGCTAATGGTATAAAGCATAAGGACTTAAGAAAGATGAATAATTATCTTCTATTTCTTTTAAAAGATACATAGGTATGAAGGAACAAAGATCTTGCCCATCTAAAGAAAGAATTTCTTAGCACTGTTGCCCTTGAACCTGACTTGTTTCAGTTCCATGGCAGTAAATTTCTGCAACATCAGCAGGTGCGGCCATTAACAACTCAATGTTCCCACAACCAATGTTTGTCTGTTCCATTTATTCCTATTCTTGACATGGTGCTGAATCAGGCAATACCACAGACAGACATTAAAAAATATTTCCTTTCTATTAATTTTAAATTACCATTTAATCTGCATGTAAATTTGAATTGTATAAAAGTGAATCAAATTTCATGAGCAGAGAAGGAAGAGAATCAGAGAGGTGACAAAACAAAGTTCTTATATCTCAGAGACCAGCATCAGGGGAAAATAAAAGCCCCACAAACCTCACAAATATAGGAGAACAAGAGAGAATTTTTAGCTTAAGACATCAAAGAACAGGGCTTAAATTCATACTCAAAAGCTCACAAAGTATCTAAAGTTCCCCACCTATCAAATGTGACAAATAAGCTTGGGGAAATAAAAACAGATTATGAAGATCCTTACATCCTTTTCAACAATCACTATAAATGTAGGTGCCTCACCTACAATTTATAGTACGTAATGTGTAAAAAAAAAAAAAAAAACCAACAAGTTCAGCATCCATCAGTAGTTTGGAAGGTATTTAATTAATTTAACTTAGTGAATGAATAATTAAAAAGTCATAGGATGTCATAATGTGATTAGCTAAGAACTCATCTCTGTTTCCACTGATAATATTAAAGATGATATCTCTTCCTCCTCTAATGAGATAAAATTATTAATATCCATTAGAAGCAATCATGTCAGCATAAGACTAAAAAATATATAGATGACATATCTATACACTGAGAGCGTGACGTCATTTCTTTAAAATAAAGAATCACTCTATTTTTAAAAATAAAATAGATAATCTTTGATATTCTTCTTTGGGACAGTACATGTAGAATTAGAGACTATTAAAAATGTTATTTTACCTAGATTCAAACTTAGAAGATAAGCATTCATTTACATGTTTAGCAACTCAGAAAATTTCACTTGGTTAATATGGATCTTGAAATAAAAATTATTATTTTCCTAAAACAAATCTAATAATAATATCGCACCATCAGTAACTTCCAGTTGAGCTTTTGCTAAAATGCTTCCCGCCACAGTTAGGGCCTGGCAGATATAGTAACCCGCATCCGAGCGCTGAATGTTGGTAATTGTGAGGTCTCCGGTTGGCGAAACAGAGCATCTACTGTTGGGTTGCTGGGGTTGATTTGGAAAAAGCAAGTTCTGTGGAAGAAACACAATCTCATCAATATCTTTTCCCACTCAGAAGGAAAAATATATTAACACTAGCTATTACAATTACTGGAATATGGTTGGAAAGTACATTTATTCTAAAAATATGGTGTTGAAATGATTAAATGTCATATAGGGAGTCTCAATGGGAAACTTTTTCCAAATCACGGAAAAATAATATGCTTTAAGAAGTCAGCATGCTCTAGTCTGAAGGAATAATCATCTAAAAACCCTGAATCTTGGGGCACCTGGGTGTTTCACTGGGTTAAGCTTCTGCCTTCTGCTCAGGTTATGATCTTGGGGTCCCTGGAGCAAGCCCTGTGTGGGGCTCCCTGCTCATCAGGGAGTCTGCTTCTCTCTCTCCCCCTGTCCCTCCCCCACTTGTGAGCACATGCACACACTCTCTCTCTCAAATAAATAAATAAAATCTTTAAAAAATAAAAAAATAAAAACTATAGATCTTTATCTTAACCCTTTACTTTCTCCCTTACTTACTTCTAGTTACTTAGTGTCTTTGAAACATGGCTTCCTCATCTGTAAAATGGGCATAACAATGCTCATGTGACTCATCAGACATTGTGATAATGTGGAATGTAACATTAACTATGCTTGTGTTTTATAAACTGCACATTACTAAGGAATGCAAAATAGACTTTCCACTAATCATTCTGAATACTTGATGTAATCACCTGAATTTCTTATGAAGATGTTCAAAAGTGTGTGGCTGGGACTGACAGAGAGAGACAGCCAAATCTACTCCTGCTATAAAATTTCTGCAGACTGTAATAGCTTTGAAAGGATCTCGGTATATATACTACCATCTATGCAAGATGAAGCAAATAATTGAAAATAAAAAGGTGCAGAATGTTTCTGAAGTGTGCATGTGCCCTTAAAGAATTTCAAATATGACTTTTCTATGAAAAATTATTTTACTTTACTATACATCTCACCTTAAACACGAGCAGCCTAAACATAGAATTTCAGAAGTTCCTATATGAGAGCAGTAATGTTAACTTGGATGACCTATGCTGCTTTGCTGTTGTTCAATTAAGAAAAACATTTGGGTGTAACAAATCATATTGAGGTATGTTTCCAAGCTGGATGATAAATAAGAACGTATCAATTTTTATGTTGTATTTACTTACAAAAAAGAACATTATAACCCTCTGGGATCTGTTTCTCGACATAGTAATTAACTTTCCAGGTTTGTAATTAAACAGTTTCAATACGTTACAATCAGGAGGTAATAACATTCAATTAAAGGCATAAGACACATTTTCACCTTAAAATGTTTTTACCCTTGAAGTAATACCAATGGAAGAGGATAAAATAGGGTATTAACACTTTTCAATTACGCTAAATGACTTTAATCCTGCGAATGATGTCCTACTTTAATTAGAAGCTCTTCTCTTTATTGCAACATGATGGATGTCCACTTTATTAGATTTGAGTGTGACACTATAAGCCCACTTTACATAAACATTACCATGTTATTAAACCCTTTCTAAAAGAAGTGATGTTTGCGAGCATGTCAGGATATAATTTCAAAATGCTATTGCCCTCCTATAAAACTTGTATTACTATATAAGGCTAGACATTTTCATGCACATGAAACAATTTGAGAACGAGCTAATTCTCTCATGGAATCCAAATATATTACTGAAATAAACCATCTAAAAGAGAAGGGTCTAAATTTTAAAGCCACTTGAGAATGATACAATAACTCAAAGTATGCACTTTCCTACAATTAGCCATTAGAATACTAATTTACATAGCACTAATACATCAGATGGGCTTAATTCTCTCTGGGATCTCTTCCTCTACAATGTAATATCAGTCCACCTTCTAAATGATTCGTTGACATGGAAAATGGCATATGATTGAGGTTAACCCATCATCTTTATTCCCTGCTTGTGTGATATAGGCACAAGAAAATGGATTACAAGCAAAACCCAGGAATTCTACAGAGCTCTTCTTGCCTTCAAGTGCCTAGGTATCCTATTAGTGCTAATTGGTATTATCAGCACATATTGAGGAATATGGACCATTAAGTCCAGGCTCTTAACTCTCTCTACTGATGGAGAGTCATAGATCACTGTAAAAATTGGATACTGGATATTGGATACCAATTTATTTTTCCTAATATTCCAATTCATAATTTGAAACTTTACAATTTGCTCAGGCAATTCTCTTTTGTTCTCATTCACAGTCTCTCTCTCTCTCCCTCTCTCGCTCTGATGCAAGGGAGATAGATGAAGGAAAGAAAACCAGACCTAAGATTATAATCAAATCAAATTACCTAACTGGAATTTTTTTTCAGAGATTAATATCCCTGGAATTACATGCCACTTTGTTAAAAAAAAAAAAAAGAAAAAACATTTTAATGCTATTTGATTATCTTTAAAAACCATTAAAGCAGAATGTAGCATATTTAAATACCATGTTTATTGGGCCACAGGACCAATACACATGTTATGCAATATCTTATGTCAACCTAGAGCTATTTGAGGGCATGTGATTTACACATGATACAGCAGTATTTATATAACAACGAGATATGGGATGATGGAATTTGACTCAATACATGGATTTAAAGTGTAAATTTGCGACAATCAAACTGCTTTACATCATTATATTTATAAAATTGATAAATAAGTAATATATTCATATCATTACATTTACTATCAGTGGCTGGAGGGAGTAACTTTGACGGATCCCAAAGCCACCAGGGTGGATGGAGGGAAAGAGCTACAGGCAAGAGAAACAGTCTTGTTGAGCTACCAGGGCTCTCCAGCGTTCACCTATCCCAGTTTTCTCAGGTACTGTGAGGCAGGGGTGACCAGAGTGGTGTTGAGCCTCTCCTTGGTGCCGGGCATTACATTAGTGTCTGGGCTGTAGGAGACCTCAGGTCCTGGCAGCCCTGGCCTGGGCAGAGTATGAAGATGAGGACTAAGGGGAGCTTCCTGATGCCTCTCTACCCAGATAATCATACATAAATTCTGATCAACAGATTCTTTTAATATAGTCTAAAAAATTTCCCATCTCTGGTAGTTTTTAGATTTCCTGGGACTCTTAATCATGGTTTTCATTATTCCCCAGGAAATTCTTCCAGAATTTGGACTAACAACAGAGGGTGCTGAGGTCTTTTCCTGAGAACTGTATGCCTCCTTAAAGATGGTTCTGGGAAGTCTACAACAAAAATATCTCTAGGTCCTTCAGGAATACACTGATAAGTTCTCAGGCAAAGAACAGTTTTTGGTTTAAGCTAGAAATTCCATTCATTGCCTGAGAACCTAGAGGCTAAGTACTTGTTCAAGTTTTGACACTAAGTGGAAAAAAAAAAAAATAGCATATCCAATTGACTTTGAATGGAGTCTGAAAGGCCATGCTACTCAGAGAGTGCCATGAGTGGACAAATCAGGGCACAGCAAAGACCAGGCAAGTGCTGATTCCTTCTGGTATATAATGTGTTATTTCCTTCTGATATATAATGTGTGATAATGTGCTATCTAACCCCACTGTGAACGAATCCAGAAGGGATGATGGAAGTAAATACTTCTCCCACTCTTAAATGGAAGTATCCTTAAGTTAATGATAAAGACAAGGCATTTATAATATCTCTCTATGTACGGGGATTGCAATTGGTTTCTAGGTGGATTGATAATGGAAATATTGTTTGACTTGTTTACACATGCCTAAGATATTCTAAACACTTTATATGTACAAACTCATTTGATAATCCCAATGTAGCTTGCTGCAAGGAAGTAAAATTATTTTTCTGTTCAGAGATTTTAAATAGCCACAGAGGTTTTGATTAGGCTCTTTAAGATAATTTAGTTACACTGAGTTGTATCTATTCTATGTAAAATACAGAATTTTGGACATTAATACTGGAAAATAAAGAACATTATATAGAACATCCGACTCTCACTTATTTTAGAATTAATTTTTCTCTTTTTTAGAAATAAAATAAATTCAACATCGATAACAGGAAAGGCGAGACAAACTTTGAGGAGCACCAGAGACAGAGAGAGTTCAGAGATTTCAGAAAAGCAGTCAAGGTTCACACTCACCTGGCTGCCTTCTTTTTGCCAAAAAACAGCTGGCTGTGGGTTTCCTTTAGTTTCACAGGGAAATGTCACTGTTCGACCTTGAGCAACAATCTGATCTCTTGGCCTAACCACAAACTGTGGAGGAGCTATAATTTAAAAGGAAAGAAAGTGTATAAATATCAACCATTGACAAAGAAAAAGATATCAAAGGGAAAATCTGGTGGATTGCTCAGAGCCAGACAGAAGCTACAGTTTTTAATTTTTTTTCTATTTTTAAAGCATTTTTCAACACACAATGGGGAAAGGAGAAAAGCACTCTATCAAATCTAAGGAAAAGAAACCTTATTAGTGGATACTTCCTAAATGTTGTACATAATAATCCTATAGCCCATATATTTGCATAGGAAAATAGATTTTTCATGATATTCTAATGTTTTTTAAAGAAAAATATGGTTTCTCAATTTGGTTTTGCAATTTGAATAAAGGTAAAAAAGAATCACTTCATTACACAAGTATCTCCTTCCTCTGAAATTAGTCTATTCACAGATATTGACCATTCTTGTAATATTTATAAGACATTGTTCTACACGCAGAGATACCAGAAGCCTTAGAATATGATCCTTATCCTCAAAGTGCTTATATTCTAGAACTGACGAGTTAAAGTGTTGAAGACATCAAAGAATTAAAGAACTGGGAATTACATACAAAGATAACTAACGATATAATGACATGTTTGAAAGTGGTTGATTCTACTTAATTCTTTTCATTTAGATAAATAAGCATTAGTCAGACAATTGCTATGTTCCCCTACTGGACACAAGGATACAGAGATAAAAAAAATTATCTATCCTTCAGTCTTCAAGGAACTCACAACCTAATGGGAAACACAAAACATGATGATGACAACAGCAAAAGCAAGGTAAAACAATTATCTAAGACTATGCTAAATTCAATGATAGACATACTTTCAGAGCACAGCATAGGAGCATTTAAATCCTAGTACATATAAGAAATGTGACAGGACTTCAGGAGGAAAGGATCCCTTTGTGTTATGGCAGCTGTGAAAGGCTTTATGCAGAAAATACACATTATGGGGACTTTGAGGAAAGGGCAACATTTAGATAAGTGGAGAAATGAACACATTCCAAGCAAGGACCTTACTGAGCAAAGTGCAAGAAGCAAGAACACATCCAGTGTACAGTGTGTATTCTGGCAGAAATGAAGGGTCTCAGTTGTGTAAACATCATTGGCTGAAAAACATAGATTTGGATGTAGCCTAAGAAACTCCTGAGAAGCCAAAGTGGGGATTTTGTTCAGGCTCTTTTTAATCTAAGAAGTGACAGATGCAAAGCAAAATCGTTAGATGCCTTAACCCTTTAATGAATATAGTATGGACTGTGAGGGAGGCAGATCAGTCAATAAAGTAGGAACTCTGGTTGGAAGACGAGGGGAATGTTGTAGGCAAAGAAAATGAGACCTAGGCATGAGTAACTCCAATAGAAAAGAAACTAAAGGGATGGGGGGTAAAAAATCCTGAGAAAGTTCAAGTTTCAATGGGGAGCCAAGTGAAAGACAGTAGACAGTATAACTGGAAGTTTTCACAAGGACATCTTCTCCATACGGAAACCCACTTCCATTGACAAGAAAACAGCATGTTTATTCCATGACTTTTCTCTCATCTGTTTACACTTTAAATCGTTGCTTATGCTAGAAAATGGAGGATGAAAAAAAAATTTTAAATCAACTCTAATTTTTAAAACCTGCTGTCCATGGCAACCATCCTAAAATTTGAACTCTAAAGAATTAGAACAATAAATGACATTCAGTTGAAGTCTTTACCCAGAATTCTTTCAGCCCCTCAGGAATACAAAAGAGCAGGTCCAAGAACAAAGTAAATGTAGGGTAGCCTCAAACATACAACCAAGGACTCATTCTTATAAGAATGCTAGTGTAGAAACAGCAGCAGATTTTTTTTTTTTTTTCACTGAGAGTTGTAGTGACTTAGTTTTTGGTGTTCTATTATACTGCCTCCTAACTCAACCCATTCAACACATACCCCAGGGACAGCAGGGATAAATCTACTATGTGAAATTTTCTTCTATAACTATAGATAACAGTAGACCCAGTCTAACAGTATGGAGAACCCAGATTTATGGATCTATTTGGACAGAATGTGGTTTATGTTGCCTTGCATTTTCAGGAGATTACTTGCTTCTTACAATCTTCTTGTTATTTCTACACAATTTCACTGAATCAGCAGACAGACACTGATTTTTGTTCCATGTTTTCTAATAGGAATGATAGATTAAATCAATGTTACAAAATTACTTCAGAGACAACTCTATAACACTGCAATGTCCATTTTTCAGGGAAGATATGAAACCACTGGATTATTTATACCAAAAAAGACTTAAGATTGGTCTCTATTATCTCCAATATCCAAGAAAAATAATACGTATTAAGCAAAATTTAAAGATCAAATACAGTTCCCACTTCTTAGTAATCCTATGAAAGACAAGTTTAGTGCCAATATGGATACTAAGCCAGAGTAACTTAGCTTATACCTCATTATCAAAAATTAAAAAAAAAAATCATTTAACAGTCTGATAAAAGTCACACATTCAGCTTATTTGTTCATTTGTACTGCTTTGGACTAGAAAGAATTTAAATTGGCTCACATAACTGGTTAGTAAAATCTTAGAGCCCCGTTTGTGCTATGAAGTCCTTCTTTATATAATTCATTTTTAAAATGTAATAGTTGAGAATACACATGATTGAAGTCACCAAATAAAACATCAAATGAAAAGAATGAAAATATATTTTATAGTCTTTTAAGTATATTATGCTTACCCTGTATCTGTCTACCCATCTACTTCAGTAAAATTAACATCTATACTTTAATTATAATCACATACCACCTTGTATTTAATATTTTAAGATTTTAAGAACTTCTTAGTAGATAAGTGATTTTGCAAAATGCTTTTGGAATCTAGATCCTACAATTTTAACCAGCTGCGAAAACATACCCCCCCACCAAAAAAAAAAGGACTGGCAAATGACCACAATTATCTCTCCACTTTTCTGAAAAGATATGATTCATTCATTTATTCATTCAAAATGCACTGATTGACTACATATTATGAGACATTCTGTTGGGTACAGGGGATGGAAAGCCAAATAAAAAATTGGCCAATACTTCCAAGTAAATAAGTAAATAAACACAAATGGAACAGAGTTTGATTTGTATAATAATACAAAAAGCAGAGGGCACTGGGTGAGAAAGGTTGGAAGAGCAGCAAATAGACTGGGTGATGAAGAAAAAAGAGGCAAGATGCCAGACAGGGCCATGGTTGAGTTGTGTTTTAAAGCACAAGCAAGAGTTCACTGGACGAAGAGTTGTAAGGTCACTTGGAAAGAGAGAAGCAGACATAAGGCAGAGACTTGGGGAGCTGGATGTGTTAGGGGAGTGTAAATGGTCTTAAGAATAAAATCAGAGATGCAGAAGTGATATAAATAGGGCCAGATAATTTATGCTAAAAGAACTTAAATTTTGCCCTGAAAGCGACGGAGATCTGTTTGAAGACGTTTATGCAAGAAAGATGTAGTAAGATTTATGTTTTAGAAAGAATGCTTTTTCTAAAAAAGAAAGGACAGATGCGAGGCGGGAAAATCTTAGCAAGTTAGCCAGAAAATCCAGTTGAGAATTGTTAGTCATAGTAGCACCTTAAGAGAACACTTCATGAGAACTCTTAAAGGACAAAGAAATTCTGTAATATTATAATGTAACATTTACTAATACTGATATGACCTATGAAGACCAGGAAATCATAATTTTTGAGTTTTTATCCAATACTGAATTTTTAAAAAAAAAACCCTAACAAAATAACTATCAGCATTTGTGTTATTCATACTATGAAGAATTCTTTCATATGACTTTTATTTATGTTGTATTTTTATTCCAAGTTATTATAAATACACCCTATTTCTAAAGTTCCAGATAGTTTCTTGTCATCAGAACCTAAGCCACACTGCTCTCACTGGAACGGGATTCACCTTATTATTTTTAAAATTAAACAAACAAAATACAGATATTAAAGCTAAGCAAAAAAATTTAAGAGTATTTAAGTGTCTGAAAATGTACATCCTTTCCTATTGTCACTTAACGTTGGACCACCAGAACAAATTGCATCAATCACTTTTACTTCTGTAGACTCTCTCTGCTCAAGATCTATATTGCAATCTCCTGTGAAGGCCTATGAGCTGAAGGAATTTATTTTTGAGGTTTTAAAATGAAAAACTGCATCAATAATTCTTCTGCTAACATTTCACATTTTCAGTATTTCTGCCAGGTGGCAGTGAAAATGGTTTGAAAAGACAGTACTTGGCTGATGGCACCGATGGGAGGGAGTAGGCAGAGAGGTGGCATTTTATCAATACAGCAAGGTAGCACAAATTGTGCTCTACATAAAATGGATTTTCTATGATGGCTCTCATTAAACATAAAAAAACCCATGATTGGGTCCTCAAGATGACAATTTCAAACACACGTTTAAACCCAATGTGCATTAAAGAGGTTGAGGTATAAACTCCAGAAGAATATGCTAGTGATAGAAATGGCAATTCTCTTACATATTTTCTAAGAGAGAAGACTATAAAATACATATTTATATCCTCTCTAAAATCCAAAAGCGGTAGACAAATCTTTTGTAGTTGTGATATAATAACAGAGTTGCTTAATCTGTTAAGTGATTATACCTTATTGTTACAGCTATCACAGGAAATGAGGTGAAGAAAACAGTGGTACAATTCAGTGTTCGATGGATACTTCCAACTGAAAAACAGTAGCTTTATAAGAAGAGCGGATTGTGTGATTTCCAGAAAAGTAGACCCAAATATAAAAAGGTCAATTGAGATTAGAGGTCTGGTATTGTTCACATGAAACGGCATTTTTGAGAATTTAAATACAATGCACAGTAAATCGGATTTGATTTCTGCTAAATTATGCTTTGATACTGCATTCAGCCCAAGCTGGCTTCCATCAAAGTCAGGCTACAGCTCTGTTTTGCTAATTCCCGCTGGTGGAAGTGAGTGGGTGTTATGGAAATCAGATGGCTGAACATGAGTAGGAGGCACAGGCCATGCGTGA